TCTGGGCTGAGGTGACTGTCAATCTATCCAGCACTAATCACCTGTGAATTCAATGAGAGCACCGGTCTAATAAAATAAATAAAATAATAAATAAATAAATAAACAAGAAGAGAGGAGATGCAAGCCAGAGGTGGGGGAAAGGGCTGGCGTTTTTAGAATCTGTCATGCTGCCTGTAGTTTGAGTGACCAGGAGAGACTTTTCTGGGCTGAGGTGACTGTCAATCTATCCAGCACTAATCACCTGTGAATTCAATGAGAGCACCACCTCTGTGGTGAGTATTCCTTTCCCTCTTTTTAGTCTGTTTGAAGCAATGTGGTTGTTAAGTTTACTGTTGACCTGTAAGTAATGAAATGTTTTCGTTTTTCTGCAAATTATTAAGACTTTAAGTGCAGTTAATGAAAAAAGGGTGGACTATCTGGGAAACTGTAGTTATTCCCCTCTGTGAGTCTCTGTACTTCTATTGTGTAGCAAAATGGAATTTACCGGAAATTCAAAACTCCGCAGTGAAAAGAACTTTAGCAAAAAGTTAATGGGAAAGGATAGAATCCTTAGGTCCTACAAACCTCCTTCCCACTGATACCCAGTATTACAAAGCATGCAAGATTGTTATTATCTCAACACTGCTTGACTCTGGAGACCTCAAACTATCAAGACAGAAGCAAGCGAATGGATAGGAGAGGTTTTGAAGAAGTGCTATTTTAACTGCCCTTTGTGTAATGAAGAAGTTCACAAACAGCATTAAGAGCCCAAGCTTACTGCACCTTGTGGTTTTACCAGACACCTCCCGCCTCCACATAATCCAAATAATTGATGTTATCTAAAAATAGCAGGCCACTCATGATGCCTCCTATCTGATGATGTGATTACAACCTGTCCAATGGTGAGTTTTCAACTGTACCTATCTAACCGTTTACAGTGCTTTGCTTATCATGATGCACCTGTCAACTGCTACTATCATTGACTGAATCTCAACCAGATGTTAGAAAGTATTCTCCAACTGAGCTGACATGGAATTGATCTTTTTCATTATATACTCAGTTCTGAAATTACAAGATAGGTTACTGCATCATGATATTAAAAGAAAGCCATGTGATCATTACACAATACAAATGCAGGAGTAGGCTCGCATCATGATATTAAAAGAAAGCCATGTGGTCATTACACAATACAAATGCAGGAGTAGGCAATACCTTTATAGACCACTAAAAAAAACGCATCATACCATTTGTGAGCTTTCGTGGATCAGAAAGTCCACTTCCTCAGGCTTGCCGGTATCTTGGGGAAGGTTGAGATTCCACTGAACTGCTCAGTGAGCCTCTTCACCTCCACACTGGAGAAGAAGGTGGGAACAGAACTGTTGTTACCTGTTGATACATTCTCGGATGAATTTGAAGTAAAAAATTGAAATTTTGAAGCTAGATCATGAGTCTGGCTTGTTTGTCGTAGGGGAGCAAAAGGTGTACCCTCACAGGCATGTGTCCAGGAATGCAACCAGCACCTCCTCAGTGAACTGCAATTTGCATCCTGCCTTACACAATTTCCCTTATAAAAACATAAATCAGCAACAGGACTCTGGCCATTGCTTTTGAGAGTCAAACTAGACATTAAAAACTGCCTTATACTAAAACAGATAATTAATCTATCTAGCCAAATACTGTAAACATCTCTCCACAATTTTAGGCAAGATTCCTAGTACTACCTGGAGATCCTTGGTATTCCCACATAGTTTTCATTCAAGCACTAATAAGGTCCTGCCCCTTGTTCGCCTCCAAAATCAGTTGAGAATGACTGGATTCAAGTTAATCTGATGGCAAAAGTGTGGGGAAATAAGAATGTTAACAAGAAGAGGAAGAGTGATTATCACAGGAGAAAGAACATTGCATGAGAAGCAGAAAGCTTGAGTATTCCTGGGCAGACAGAGACCCCTAAATCAGCAGGAGTGGCTGATGCAAACCAGCTGACAGTATATCTAGTTTCTCAAGCTGACTGAAGCCAACACCAATTGTGTGTTCTGTCTGTTAATCTCATAATGTTAGTCTTCAGAGTGCAAGCATTGCAGTGAGGAGATTTTCAACACGAGACACGTGTGCACGCACACAAGGCAGGCAGGTGCCTCAGTAAGGTTCAGTCTCTCTTCTCTCCTGTTGACAACCCTGCTTGGCTGCTATTAATAACACCTTGGAACACAGGAATGTTACTGTGGAAATATTTTCATTTTGAAACCGACATGTAGAGTATAGAAATGGCAATCAGTAGATATTAAAGGTCCACAACTACAAATAACAAAATTAGGAAACCATACCAAATAAAAAAATTATTATTTCAGCCCTTGCTGTTTAGCTCTGGCAGAGTTTGCTTGAATTATCCCCAACCCAGGAATCCATATCACCTCCATCTATCATTTCTCTTTTTTCCTGTTTCTTTCTGTCAAAAGCTTAGCTCTTATATATCTGCTTAAGGGAAGCATTTGTTGAATGTAGAACACTTTTTGAGGTTATGCAGGTTCATTGATCTCCCCCCCCACACACACACACACATTAATACAAGGGCTCATGTTGTGTAGCCATTCACCATCACAAATAAAATACTTCTTGGATGCAGGACAGACTCACATATTTTGTCTTTAGTGTTTGGTGTTTTGTGTGAATCAAATCTGTCTCCCACGTTGTGTCTCTTTCTATGCTACACAGCATAATAATAGTATATTAGTTTATCAAGAATTAACTGCTGTACCAGTTCCTTATTTTTGTTATTATCAACATAAAAAGAGCTCTGTTGGATCAAACCAAAATCCCGTCTAGTCCACCATCCTGTTCCTATAGCTGCCAAGCGGTTGCCTAATGAGAAGTCCTCAAAAGGACATGAAAACAGCCGCACCTCCCATTTATGTCTCTCAGCAACTGCTATCCTGTTCTCCCAAAGTAGGTGGGTTGTATGTTATCTACCCCTCCTTTAAAGTAACTGAAGCCCCTTGGTTCAGACATAAAAATAATAGTTTGCTAGTTCTAAAAAAGGGAATTTTTTTTGCTTCTAATCTTCCCCTTTAGAGCAGTGTTCCCCAACCTGGGGCCTCCAGATGTTCTTGAACTACAACTCCCAGAAGCCTTCACCACCACCTCTGCTGGCCAGGATTTCTGGGAGTTGAAGTCCAAGAACATCTGGAGGCCCAAGGTTGGGGACCACGGCAGTGCACCAGAGAAGCAAGTGGAGGAACACTGAGCTCTGGCGGGGTAATGCATATAATGTTGGGGTCAGTTATCTCTGAACTGTTGGAGTTTTTTGCAACCTTGCATGCCACCTGCAATAGGTGTGTCTTGGGGGGGATGTCATTCTATCTGGCACTAATCAACCATTCCTTCCCTGCCTCTGAATTCAAAGAGAGCCATGCTTCTGTGCTCTGCTACTTTTCCCCTCTCTTTTGTCTGTTGGGGTCAGTCAATCTGTCGAAAGCAGTGAGTCTGTTGAGACCTGCTGTTGTAAGCAGTCATGCTTGTTCTCAGTTTGCTGTTTGATCTGTTCAACTGTAAGTAAAAAAAGATGTTTTTATTTTTTTCTCCAGTAAATGTCTCAGAGTAAGTTACTAAGGGTATATACTAATCTGTAGATCTTGAAGCTAATTATGCTCTTTGAATCCCTGCACTTCTACTGTGCAGCTAGAGGAATTTAACCAGAAATTCAAAACTTTGCAACACAAACGGTACATTTCTTCAGCAGCACTGTTGCTCAAATTATGGCACATGCACATACCCAAAGAACATTTACAGTATTCCTCCTTCAACAAGACATACATAGTGTGCAAAATGTAGATAAATTCCCACTTGTATCCACATCAGATCTATTTGTACTAATACATATATATACTTCCCACCTTCTCAGTAGCTCTGTTTTTCAGTCCAAACTATTTACTAGTGTAGAGATTTCTTACACTAAGTTATACTCTTGAAATAATCAGTTAGCTGAGCTAATAGCAAGCAATGCTTTTTTTAAAGGAAATCACTGCCAGATATGAAGATGTAGAATAATGGTAAATCTCTGGACATAGGGTCAAACTATATATTAAAAGTTTTTTTAAAGGGAAATCACTGCCAGATATGAAGAAAAATGATGTAGAACAATGGTAAATCCATGGACATAGGGTCAAACTATATATTAAAAGGAATGTATATTTCCTCTCATTTCCTGGTGTTTCCCTATTTCAATGGGATTTCTTCAGTGACACATGCCTCAGCAAATGAGATCTGCAAATTAAGCTCATGCTTAGTTTCCAATAGCCAATCACAAATAAAAGTACACTAAAGGCAAGATACACAGTTGAGGAAAATCATGTGCTGTGAAAATCAGTATTTCACTAATTAAGGGGTCCTCAGTTTACACTTGAGCCTGTGTGTGTGTGTTCTGTCCCATCAAGTTGGAACCGACCCAAATAGGTCTTTCAAGGTGAGACATTTAAGGAGTGGTGCTACCAGTTCCATTCCCCCCAGTCAGTATCCATGGCTGAGCAGACATTCAAACCCTGCTCTCCATCAAAGCCTAAACTCTCACTAGAAAGCTAAAATGAGGCTAGTGTACTCTGGATGTATTCTGAGAAGTGGAAAGGGCAACAATGTTAGGATAAGTGGAAGGCAGAAAGAAAGGAGGACAACTGAATACTATAAGATTTTTTGACTCAATAAAGGAAAACACAACCTTTATTTGCAAGACTTGAGTAGGGCGGATAATCATGATACCTTTTTGTATCACAGATCTCCAAAAATCAAAAGTCAGTTGACGGTGCATAGCATACCCACACACATTGCCCAAGTGCATTGCCAGATTCTGGTGCCATTCTCTGAGGAATACAGCTAATATAGTTTCCCCCAAATGCACTCTTAAAGCAAAGCTGGGATCAGCTCTCTCAGAAACATGTTGGCTCCTCCTCTCAGATAGAAGATGTTATCATTGGTGACACTAAACAGTGATGTCACCAGGTGGATTAAGGGAGCTTGGGGTACAGTATTTCTGGAGGATGAATTGCATTTCCCAGATTTTCCTGATCAGACAAGTGGAAAATAACTTCATGGTTTCCACAGGGAGCTCACAACACTGTAAGTTTTTGATTTAAATCTTTGCATCATATAATTAGTGAAGTATATAACAGGAGATGGAGAAGATCTGGTGGTTTGTGCCGCGAAACAGAAAGCTCAAAGCATTTATTGAAATTCAGAAGGGGCTGATTTAACATTTCTTGTTATTTGATCTTGTTTGATTAAAACATTCCAAAGGCGCAGCTCTAGCATCACAACACCAAAATGGTATAATCTGGATACCATTTGTGTTTAGTTTTGTTGTTGTTGTTTTTCAGGCACAGTAACTTTAAATTCATTAGATTAAATGTAGTCCTGGATTGGAAAGTTTTGTTCCTGGAAACTTGTGTTAATCTTCTGCTTTACCAATCCCTTCTTCTTGAAGGGTTTTCTTACCAACTGGCAGGGTTGCAAGGTATATGTAGCTGGATGCTTGGCTCGGTTTGCTGGGAAATACTTCTGTGAAGGAGCATTATTCAAAGAGGCCAGGGTGCTTCAAAAACCCCATGCAGTCCTTCAAGAGTAAGAGCACTAGAAAATTTAAGGAGTTTGTGGCTGGATGTCTGTCAGGATGAGACCAGGAGAATGGTGAAGAGTGTTGTAATGCTCAGTTAAAACCAGCGGGTGTTTTGCTGCAGACATCAATTACAGTAGATTTCTTCGTTTCACATAACAAACAGCAGGGAGCCTTATGTAGTCAGTGGTTTCTCACTTGGCAGTACAGTATAATGTTTACTGCCTGCTAGGAGAGTACTAGGAGCCAGGGAGTGATGTTTGGCGATTCCTGTCATGAAAATATAGAGAGACAGTATTCTTCAGAAGTACTTTGTGTGTTGGGGGAGATTCCACCTTCTAAATCCTTTCATCTTTGAAATGAGAAGAAAATAAGCTAGTTATTAAGTGTTGGTGCTGGTGATATTTGTTCACTTGCTTGCTTGCTTGATTGCTTGATGTACCACCCCTCTAATGGACAAACTACTCTGGGTACTTTACAAATTAAAAACTCAGACCCCCATGCAACCCCATAAATGATGCATCAATATGGTGGTTCAACTATCTAGATCTAAAATAAACAAAAAAAAAGCACAGGAAAAGTGAAAAAAATATTAAGAGCATCTGGAGATAAGTTATTGAAGGTAGCTTTGTATAGTTCTGTCTTCACTGGTTTCCTGAATGTCAGGAAGGAAGGAGCCTGCTAGGAGCATATTTTACAGATTGGAGGCCACCACCAAGGAGGCTCGATTCTTTGTTGTTGCCATTTTGGCATACCTCACTGTGGCCACTTTAAGCAGCCTGGATATTGAAGAGTGGATGAAATGGGTCGCGGTTTTCTGAGAGAGAGATTCTGGGTCCTAAACCATCAAGGGTATTATAGGTCACAACCAGCATCTTGAATTGCACACAGGAACTGACAGGGAGTCAATGCAGGTGAGCCAAGACTGGGGATATGTGCACCAATTTGCTAGTCCTGGAAATAGTGTGGATGCTGGATTTTGGACCTACTGAAGCTTCCACACTTGTTTTCAAAGGCAGCTGTACATAGAGAGCATACGGCCATCAATACAAATTCATATCAAGTTTGTTTGGTAGGACTTCTCAGTCAATCTGGAATCATATCTGAATCTTGGTTTAAAAGAATCTAGGTAGGAAACAGCTAAAGGGAAATCACCTCGACCTTCTGATTTCGCATTGGGCTATTGAGAAGAATCTGAATGGTTTCATGGGAAGACTGGATTCTCAAGACCACCACTGCTATGAAGATCACAACAAACATCATGATGGGTCCAGCAACATCTTGTTTTGGAGCAAGGTTAAAACTGCACCATCCTTGAGTATATAGCACTACTAAGTATTTCCTTGGGCCATCAAGATGTTCCTAGCAAACATGGAGACCGGACATGAAACGTCTTTCAAGCAATGTATTAAGAAGATTCAAAGTGTACATGTGGAGGTGGAGCCTGACCTTGCTACAAAAGATATTAGCCTAATCCTCTATTTTGTCTTTCCTCAAGGATCAGAGATTAAAGCTGTGAAAGGAATGGATTACAAAGAAACAGTTTGCTATTTGCACACAAAATGAACAGGAGGGATGGAGGGAGGGAGGAGAGAGAAGATTAAACTGGAGGCCAACCCTGAGGTGGATTGCCATCTGACAGCATCTTGCAAAGGACATTATTGTGGGCCGATTGCATTAGATAAAATTAACCATCCACGTAAGCAAGGTCATTACACAAGGGATCAACTCCTACACTAAACAGGGATCTGTCAGAACAAATTAGAAACGGCTGAGCTTCAAGTTGGGGAGGGGGGTTAAACTAAAGAAGACAGAGGACACTTAATTGAGTCACCAGTTTCAAGATACTTTTCAGTGTTCATGTCCATCCTAGTTCACTCACCAGCAAGGGCTTTTGTTTCCTCCCTGAGTAACAAGGATCAATTTTAGCAGCAGAATTGTGGTGAAAAGAGGATACCCAGTATGGTATATAGACTAGGACTCAAAAGGCCTTGGTTCGAATCCCCACTCAGCCATAGAAAATCACTGGGGAAGTGGAAACTGGTAAAACCAATCTTTAAATACCTCACTTACCTTAAAAGCCCTGTTAGGGTTGCTACAAGTCATTCCAACTTGACGGCGCATAACAGTAATTGTGCAAAGTTCCATAAAGTTTTAATGTATTAAAAGGGGAGTTGGGAGACACGAAGCAAAAGATGAAAACTGAGAATGAGGGTTCAGACAGGCACTAATGGTGGAGTGAAGAAATCACTCATATAACTTTGTCTGTTCCTACCTGATGAATTCTACTTTTATCTGGAAAGTGTGACAGTAGAAAACCTGATGAATTCTACTTTTATCTGGAAAGTGTGGCTCAGAAAAATTCATGAAGGGCTTTGTTGGACAACTGATTAGTACATTTTTTTGGATTGGGTGGGAAAGGATCACTGCTATAAAAAAAATGCATCGCTGAAACTTTTTCCCCTCACTAGTTTGCTAATGAAAGCAGCTAGAAGAAATTCAAGGGAGGAGCCCTTTGTATTTTGTTTTGTTTTTCCTATCATGATATGAGGATATGGTAATGGTGATAGTGGAAAACCAGTGAGAATGAAACTCTCTGACTTTTGTTACATCCTGTTTCTTTCCCTTTTTATAAGTTCTTTTAAAAGGTTTTCTCTCCCAGTCTGAGTCAAGTGAGAAGCAATATGGTTTTCAGACCAAGGTTTTGCTCCATACATGAATTCATCGTGGCTGCAGCCATAGGCAGCTCATGACTAGGGACGATGGCACAGAGGGCACCCTCACAGAATGTTTGGGAGAGGAGCCCTCCTCTCCTAGTCTCTCACTTAGCTACAAAACCTTCCTTGCCCCTCCTTGCAGGCAATTATACTATAGGAAAAATTAAGTTAGTACAGCGACCAGTGTCCAACGGCTTCTAAATATATACAGCATGTAATAGCTTTGCCGTAGTGCCCGGGGTCTTGCTGCCTTTCCAGATTTCAAGTTTCTTTCAGCATAAAAGCCCCATTGTTTTGTTCACTTGGGGCCATGTGACACATCTCCATCAGAGTCCTTTCGAGGAGAAAGGTGGGGTAAAATATTTTTAAGAAATGACTCATATCAGTAATAAACTGTGGCTTTTTACTGAGAGGCAAATATTGGTTCTTGAATCATTTTTAATATCCATCTCACTCCAGTGTTTTCTCTAATTGGCTCTTGTGATATGCAATTTCCAGATACTGAAAGTTTATTTTGACTTTATTTTATTTATTTTTGAACTAGAGATCCCAGAATTGCTGAGCCAGCCATTCTGGCTGAGAGATTCTGGAAGCTGTAGTCCAAATAATATTTGATCTTAGAATCTTAGAGCTGGGCCCCTGACAAGGAGGCACAGTGGTGAATCAAACTCACATCCTCTGGCTCCACAGCCAGATACCTAAGCCACTGAGCTAAATATGGAAGAAGAAGAACAAAAACAAAAATAACAACAAGAAAAAAGAAGGCATGATAGAGTAGCAAAATTAGTGGCACTGGTCATTATGCAAAGATTGTAGCTTGCCAGCCCCCCAAAACCCGTGGGAACATCAGGTAGAGAAGGTGTCAGAAAATGAGGAAGTCAAGATCCTATGGGATTTCTGGATCCAAACTGATAGACACCTTGAACATAACACACCAGACATACCAGTAGTAATGGACAAAGAAATGTCTAGATCATTGACATTGCAATTCTAGGGGATGCCAGAGTCAAAAATAAAGAATTGGAAAAACTAACAAAGTACAGATACCTGGCAATTGAAACATCTCGCCTCTGGAAGTTACTTCAGTGGTCCTCGTAGTAGTTGGGACTTTGGGAACAGTACCAAGAAATTTCACACAGTACTATAAGTAGTTGCAGACACCATCAGAGCTGCAAAAAATGGTGTTATCGGAAACAGCATACATACTGTGCCGATATTTAACAGATACGTTCTTGGATACCAGTCAATGTTTTTATCATTTTGACTGTGCCTGGTGTTTTTAATAAGAATAATAAGAATAAGAAGAATAAGAAGAAGAGGAAGAAGAAGAGGAAGAGGAAGAGGAAGAGGAAGAAGAAGAAGAAGAAGAAGAAGTAGTAGTAGTAGTAGTAGTAGTTTTCTTATTTAGGGGCATATGTCATCTGTGCATTTACCATATTTGGAATGAAGATCCTTAAACTAAATTTGATCAAATTTGATTTTCATCTCCGCTTTTTGGTCACTGGTTTGAATATCATGCATAGATAGATTCGCTCATATTGTCTTAAAGAGTCTGTAAAGGTCTCTTGGTGCTAAAGCAAATTGAAATGGCTGTGTTAGAGGATAAGTATTCCTTTCGTGTATGTGTTTTCCTTCAGTGGAAATTATTATTGAGGCTTGATATTTGTATGCATATTTTTACAGGATATAAATTTATAGAGATATTTAAAAAAAAACATGAAAAGCTATTTTGAGATGGTACCAGTGTGATGCTTTGAGATGAAGAGGTTAAACATCAGTTCAGAGAAGTGCTAATTTTGTCATTTCTCTACAGGAGTGATACAAGCAAGGGAATAGCCTAGAATGAAAATTACTTAATGCCACTAAGAGGCAGGAGTGAAAATCATGTGGCTTTACATGTGAGAGAGGGATAAACAGGGAAGGATAAACACCTTCTCCTGTGGCGAAGGGAGACCTACTTCACTCTAATCAACATTCATCTCTCACTCTACACAATCACATAGCAATTCTTTGGTCTAAATTGGTGCAGTGGTCTCAGCTAGTAGGTGGAAAACCATACGCAGTTGGTGATTTAGTTGAAAATGCATCAAACCTATGGCGTGAGCAATTTTGTCTCAGAGTATTACAGAAAATTTAAAATTTAAGAAATGGGGAAATGGAAAGGATGAAAGAGTTACTTTTTAGTCAGTGGAATGTTTGGAAAAGTTAGTTTTTTGGACTGCAGCTCCCAAAATCACCCAGCCAGCATAGCTACTTTTCCAAGCCTGGAGTCAGTGTATAGAAGAGGGAAATTCGGCAGGTACAGTTTTCTCACCCTTTCATGACAAGCAGTCTTCACCAACATTTTATGCAGCTCCTAAGTAACAAAAGCCTTGTCCTGTTCTAGACAAGGGGCAAAACTGACATTATAGATAGCCCATCATTAGAAGAAAATCCTTAACTAATAAAATAATTTGAGTGTCACAGTAGGAGTTTCTCTCACCTCCAGGACTGAACAAATTAGCTTGCTTTGTTTGGTGATTGGACTTCAGTATTTAAGCACAGCAAATGAGAAAGACTGCTTCAGTCACTCCTCTCTAACATTAACTTCCTTTCAGCTATAATTATGGGGTATCTGTAAAGTCTTTTTCTGCTCAGAGTCACTCTGACTCTGATGAGATGTTCATTAAGAAGAAAAAGACCAAAAAAATAAGAATCCCATGTTGTAGGTTGGAGTTTCCAGGATTCCAGATAGGGATCAATCCAGTCACTTGCTGCCAACTGTTCCATTTTCAGAGATTGCAACTAGGGCCTTCTGTGCATAAAGATTATGCCCCACCATCAAACAATAATTATTTCTTGTAATAATGGAGCCTTATAGGTGCCAGTGTTTCAACTGGCCAAAGTAGCTGTACTAGATGTGCAGACTACGGCAGATGATAAGGTTTTTCTCTATGCTGTAAAGAGCTTGCCCTGCATATCAAGATACTTCTACATGCACAAGATCAAGCTATGACATTTTCTTTGGATCAGTTGGCTACACTGTCCCTAATGCCAAGCTATACAACTGAGGACAGTTCTCCTGTCACTTGAAAGAGTTGTGGGGGAAAAAGAGGTTTGGCAGGCGGAACTTGTGGTGTCCTAGGTTTGCAAAGCAGAAAGGTTATGTGAACCTGCCAGAATTCCCTCTTGTCTGCAACATTATAAAAGCCCTGTTCTGAGCTGTATGTGGTCTCCCGATCAGATAGAGTAGAATAGATAAGGAGTGGCCGTACATCACTTATTGAATTCCCTGTTCCTGGAGTAGCTTCTGAAAACATCTCTGCTGTCTAGATTTTCCAACTGTTGCTGAATCAAACAGCACTGTAAATGATGAAGTATTGTCCTTTTCCTCATGTTCACTGACTGCGTTGTTTTGCCTTCCAGAGAAAAAGCTGAGTGCCTCAGAGTCCCTGAAAAATGACAGATAACGCCCCTGCTGCTAACCTCAACGCAGATGCATCAGCAGCCACAGGGCCTACCACACCGCGCAAGGGGCCTCCCAAGTTCAAGCAAAGGCAGACAAGGCAGTTCAAAAGCAAGCCCCCTAAGAAAGGGGTAAAAGGGTAAGAATGCTGAAATTAAAGAATGCTGAATTGGCCTGCGTATACACCGACAGCCCCTACAACAGCGGTGCAAAACCTTGCTTGTCACAAAATTAACCCCGTTATTCAGTTCTTCCTGTAAAAGGGCAAGATGGTCCATGCCTTCTCAATGAGGAAAAAAAAAGAATGAGAATTCTTTTCACACAAATGAAGTTTTTCACACAAATGAAGCAAATTTGCATGTGTGCAAATTCCACATAATGTTGATGACTGCTGCTTTGTTGCATGGACTGTCTATGATTAAAAGCTTTAAAGGGTGAGGGTTGACTCTTCTCCAGTCAGTTACTCTTTGCTTTTTATTTGTGTATGCTATGTTTCTCAAAGGGAAAGTAGAGTACATCTGCAAATCAGGAAGTTGTAAGAAAAAAGCATGCTGTTTCATCTATGTGTGAGAAGGAAAGGAGAAATGTATTGGGAACTGTCAATTACTAATTGAGGTGGCTCAACAAATTGAGACAGTCCCCATTTAGATAAGAGTGAAGAATTTACTGAGTATTCTTTACATCCCTACAGGACCATACCAAACCATACTTAAAAAGGAATCTCGTAGGATTCCTAGGAGTCACTTCATAGGGTTATGGGTTTGGACTTTACACTTGGTGTCTCTACATAGAAAGTCCAGAACCATCCCAACCGTGCAACTTCTAATTCTAAGATTAATTGGAAACAAAGTATTGATTTCTTAATTCTCTTTATGTAGCTGCCTTGAAGCAACAGTTTTCAAAGACCTGCCAAGAGACAGCTGATGGATGTAATATTTTAATGAGAACTAGCTGAATGAGCTCAGTGGTTTAGGTCTCCAGCTGGAGAGTCAGAGGTTGGGAGTTCGATTCCCCACTATGCCTCCTAAGAGACAAGCCAGCCTGTCTAGCTTTGGGCAAGCTGCACAGCTAGACGGTACCCCCAGAAGAAGGAAGTGGTAAACCACTTCTGAGTACTCTCTAGCTCGAAAACCCTGAAAAGGGTTGCCATAAATCAAAATTGACTTGATGGGACATTATTACTATTGCTATTGCTATTGCTATTGCTATTGCTATTGCTATTGCTATTGCTATTGCTATTATTATTATTATTATTATTATTATTATTATTATTATTATTATTATTATTATTATTATTATTATTATTATTATTATTATATTATTATTATTAGGAAAGCCCAGCTTTCACATCCATACATAGTAATCTGGAGTACCATGGTTATTCCGCATTACTATCTACAGGTATGAAACCTGATGGCCTAAAATGGCATGAGTCTTGGCTAGAGATGGCATACTTGTCTCTCCTCTCTAAAGAATGTATCCAGAGGTCTCAGAGAGAAACATGGAAACAAGAAAAAAAAGCTATAATTCAAAGACATATATACTGCTTGCAACAGAATGTGAAACTCTCTGCAATCTTAAGTACAGGCTATAGATTCCCCTAACTATCTGATGAGAAGCAGAAATTTATTGCAGTGTTAATGGTGCAGATAAGCTTGTCTATGTGTAAATGGTCTTACCTTGCAGAAATACCATAAGTCTTCAGTGATCTGTTTCCAAGAAAATTGAATCCTTTCTAACCTTGGTGCCTCTAACATCTCACTGCTCAAAGGGGGGGGGTTTACACATGTGTAACAGTACGTAAGACTACATCATAAACAGAACTGATGCCTGTAGGTTTTTTTGTAGAAATTCATTGCATTGGAGAACACAACTTTGTTGGAAATGCATTTCTATTGTTTATAGGAGCTTTACTGAGGGACACTCAAGTGATATTTTGTAACTGAAAATAATGAATTAATGGAGTGAAATGACATGACTTAAATACCACCACATTTTGAAGGAATAAGGAAGAACAATCTAGTCAAGTCCATTATGACACAAACTTACACGGCTCTCATGTATACCTTTATCTTGCTGTGGCCATCAGAGGAGATTTGGGATTCATTACCTCCAATTAACTTTAAGAATCGATACCCATTTTGTAACTATTCTGTGAGAATGACGACAATGGGATGGGTGCCCCTTTTGGTGAGCTGTCTCACATCTGGATTGTGAGTGCCTGGAGGAGGTAAATTTAGTTGATGACACTCTAGAGGAACCCTGATGGGGAGAAACCCAGATAACAAGAGGAGGGAACCCTGACCAAAACCTAGTAGAACAGCCACTAAAGGGGTAAAGAGGACCTTGGTATCTGGGAGATATAAAGGCAGAGAGACAGACCCAGACTCAAGAGGAGGAGACAGTGGAACAGGGTGGGCACATGAGAGACCTGCTTCCCAACATGCTAGTTGAGGAAGAGGAGGAGGTAGAGGATGGTTTCTGGGGAGATGACTTAGAAAACCTAGTACAGCATTTGCAGGCTGAGGAAAAGCTCCCCAAAGAACCAGAGCCACCTGGGAATTGGGAGTATATACAGTGGTGCCTCGCATAACAATGTTAATTGGTTCCATTAAAAACATCGTTATGTGAAAACATCGTTAAGCGAAACACCATTTCCCATAGGAATGCACTGAAAACCGGTTAATCCGTTCCAATAGGAGCCTATTCAATGCATTTCAATGGTGAAAAAAAATCACCAAAAATTCACTCAGAACAAGCATTTGCAGGCTGAGGAAAAGCTTCCCAAAGAACCAGAGCCACCTGGGAACTGGGAGTATATATACTGTACAAAGAGGACACCTGGCTAGGGGTGCTGGTGTAGCTCAGGCTGTCCAAGGACAAGGTGGAAAGACATCTCAATCTGTGGCCACTGTCCTGTCCCTCATATTGAGGCAAATGACAATGGATGGAACAAAGATATCCAGCCAGCCAGCCTACCCCTGGAGAAACTATTCCCACTCAGCTGCTCTGCTGGCAGAGACAGCATCAGCAGGCACACCAGAACCAGCAGACCGTGAGCCATGAGGACACTTGGGTGAGAGACTGGCATTGTTGTCCTTGGTGCAGGCATACTGATTCTCCCTGCCACAGGTCCTGTGTTTCAGGTCAGTGGGAACAACTCCATTGAGACAGAAACCCTTTCTGGTGAAAGTAACCAGGGAGATAGAGGGCTTGGACTCATTTGACTTAAAACCTGGTTCACTGGCAGTGCAGGACAGGTCCAAGATAATTGTGTTGTTAACCCCAACCTGGTTGTAATAAACCCTGTTTTGGTTTAAGCACAAATGATGTCATTCATGGATCAAGGAATGAAGGAAGGAGTGTCTGCAGATCCAGCTAGGGCTGATGGGGCTCACATTATGTAAAAATAATTTCCTGTTCTTAAAAGTTTTCATGAGATGGCATGATAAGAGTATGTAAGTGATCAAATTTAACTAAAGTAAAGGTAAAGGTTCCTTTGACATTTAGTCCAGTTGTGTCCAACTCTAGGGCACGGTCTCATCCCCGTTTCCAAGCCGTACAGCAAGCGTTTGTCCAAAGACAGTAGCGCAACTAGACACGGAATGGTGTTACCTGAGTAGCGCGACTAGACACGGAATGCTGTTACCTTCCCACTGTGGTGGTACCTATTTATCTACTCGCATTTGCATGCTTTTGAACTGCTAGGTTGGCAGGAGCTGGGACAAACGACGGGAGCTCATTCCGTCGCATTGATTCGATCTTACGACTGCTGGTCTTCCGACCTTGCAGCACAGAGGCTTCTGCAGTTTAACCTGCTGCGCCACCACATCCCCTCAAATTTAACTAGTCAATGACAAAACATTCTTTTGATTTTATGTGTAGGAACCAATGGTGGATATATATAATCATATCTCCTAAGATATGCACTACCAATCAAGTGACATTTGTGAAGCTATTCTGTCTTCTCCTCCTTTACTGTTTCCTTGTGAAAAGAAAAGAGAAAAAATCGACAAATGGAAGCAGCAATTAGAAAACTCAGGAGGGAAAGCTACAAATGAATAATGATGATCCCTGGATAAAGTGTGGCGCACAGTTTGAGGTCTCACCCAAAATTTGCTGCTAATATGGGTATTCCCATAGTAGGACCCTGGCCTACCTACTGTCTGGAACTTATCATTCCTGATAAAATTCTGCTAAGCAGGCATGGCAGACTGCATGACAAGAATTTGTTGCACAGAGAACACAAGTTTACTAATCATCAGAAGGCTCCTTGGGTCTGATCTAGACACAGAACGGATTACATTGTATTTAAAGCTGCCCTTCTACTTGATTTAGGATTTGCAAAATCCTACCTGTTTATAATCCTGACATTTACAGGCACAACAGGGACATGCCACATGCAAGAATGTGCAAACCATATAAGCATTAATGCCTGATCTTGCAATTAAAAAGACCCCTTGCTCTGCTGTTTCCTTTCACATTTTCAGGAGAAGTTAATTCCATATCTAGGAACAGTACGTCCTTAAGAGGAAAGATTGTTTTTTCTAACACAGTTTGTCTCAATCTGCATTTGGCAAATTAACTTTATTAATTGGTTAACTAGGAAATAGCATGGCTATTTGTTTGCATGTTTGACATCTTAGGCACTTGGCACTGAAAGTTCTGCATGCCTGGAAGGATGACTATGTAAGAGGGGCAAATAGGTATTTGTTTTTCGACCCACATTCTTCTCTTGGTTTATTCTTTAAAAACATTGATGCATGTGTAGGTCTTTTCACTCTTTTTCTTGCTTATACCTCACCTCACCTCTCCTTTGTTGTTGTTTTTCATAGTTTTGGAGATGACATCCCAGGAATGGAGGGACTTGGAACAGGTAAATATAAATAATGCAAAACATATCTCCTTTACAAACAAAAGAAGGACCTTGTGAGATCAAACAAATCCGTTCCAAATCAGATTATCTAGCCCAGCTTGCTGCATCTAAAGCTATTCAGTCACATGCTTCTGAAAGATTTATGAGTTTGGTATGATGTACAGTTTTCCAGGGCTGGTACTAGACATGTTGCCACTTGAAGCATAGGAGCAAATCTTGTCTTGCCCTTCACCAAACTGCACAGTATCCAAAACCAGACAGCTTTTGTTTGTTTGTTTGTTTTGATCCCTGGAGCAGATAATCCCACACCTTTCCCAATCCTTAGCAATATAATTGCAGCAACTAGATTAACAAGTTTCTATCCTTTCCCAACTCTTTGAAATCTGCCACTTGAGGGGACTGCTTTACTAATGGTAGAGCCATTTCTGCTGACACCCCCCCTTCTCTCTGTCAGTTTCTGGTAGTCAAGGGCAAGTTCCTCTAAATTCTTTGACACAGATAATGAATTTATCATACACTAAGAAACATTCTTAAAGCTGTTGGCTGCTATTTGCTATTACAGCTTTCCATAGGTAATTAATTCCTTGTTATGTGATTCCCTTGGGTTTGCCCAAGACAGCTAGCTCATCAGCAATAGACGACCTTAAGGGAATATAGTATATAATTTAAAGTAGGGATGCATGAGGATTTTAATCAGTCAACAATTTGAAGCAAATTGACCTGATCCATAACTCCTAGGGGACTGTACATACAGGATGATCAGGCCTTCTGGATGGTTGTGCCCCCAGGAACATATTTCTTTTGCAAATCTTTGAATTTTGCAATCCAATTCTTAAGTGAAAAAAAAGGTATCAACATGCACATGAAACTGTGCATTCTTAAGATAGGTCTAGAAATTTGTACTTTAAGGAAATGTGTGGAAAAATGACTTAGAAATACTATTTAAATATTTTAAATAAATATATTTATTTCATACATACATACATACATACATAATACTTAGAAATATTATTTAAATATTTTAAATAAATCTATTTCATACATACATACATACATACATACATACATACATACATACATATTTTTTACATTTCAACACATATTTATATGAAAATCTTTCAGGGTAAAATAAATAAACACTGAAATGGAGACAGGATAGAACTTGTAAATGAATGTGAAGAACTTTACCAAGCTCTTATTAAATGTAAGGGGGAAAGGTACTCTTCAAATCTTCTTTACATGGGAGAATACCATCGGAGTTTATGTCTTAAATTCCAAGAAAACTGGACAGACAAAAGCTGTTTCTTCAATCCAACCGTCCTTCTACAAGGAAGTAAAATTCCTTCTGAAATGGGTTTGTCCAGCTTGACATATGCACGTGTAACCATTTCTCTGTCTCTCCTTCTTTTTCAGATATTACAGTGATCTGTCCTTGGGAAGCTTTCAGCCATCTGGAACTTCATGAGTTGGCACAATTTGGAATCATCTAATTCTCCAGCACCCTTGCTTATGTCACCCATAATACTTACTTCCACTCTTTATTCAGAAATATTACATCAGGTGGTTTTGTAGGTATGGGTCATTTTTTGAGCAGCTGTCTTCTCAGGGTAACCTTGTCTGAATTTAAAAAATGCTGCTAATATATCCAACCGGCTTCTCAGCTAAGACGTTGAAAAGCATCTGCACATTTTCATTGTACTCTTTTCCTCCTGAAAATTCTCCATGCATGCAAAGTCTCCTTCTATGATCCAGGATTCCTCTAACATCTCACATCTTTTTGTTGCTCTGAAGAGATAGCTGAAAGCACTACATTTCTTGTATCATAATATTCCAGCCCTTTAAGGTCAAATTTTAAAGAAATCAATTACTCAAAAGTAGCTTCTTTTGTGAAAACTCTTATACAGACACTCTTGCTTCAGACGAATCTGGCATCACAAAGTCTCCCATGTGAAGGTCCCATTTAGTGTTTTATCTGGTTCTAAGTATCTTATTTGCACTTTATTGTTTACCTCACTGATGGATTTAGCTGGTTTATTTTTGTTAAGAATATACAAAAGACCTGAAACTATCCAGATTGCAATCATACATCCACTTACCAGGGAATAAGCTACCTTGGACTGAGAAAGACTTACTTCTGAGTATATATGCATAGGAATTCCATTAGTCAGCCTACTTTAAATATCAAGTAGAATTGTGTCCTAATTTCTTTTATTGTTGGATAGAATGGATTTTATTTTGAACCTTTTTATCAAGTTGTGTGTGCTAATTTTACAATAGATCCTGTAACTAAACTCTAAAAGCTATTTCATAGATGGAATATTCCGTGTGTGCATATTTGATTTTAAAAGAAAACACTATCAAATGTGAAGATCACCTTTAAATCTATATTCACATATAGCAGAAATTAGAAACATATGGTTGACATTTTATACACAGACATACAGGATTAAATCCAATTTACAGTTATCTGGAGTAGACCCACTGAATGAAGGGGATTTGCTAAATCAATACATGTAAATCCCACTGATTCAATGGATTTATTCTATTTGGGACTAACAGCTGGATTTAGTTCTGCATTTCTCTCCTGTTATGCCTGTGTATATCCAAAACAGAAAACAATAAGAGGCTGGGATATCATTGAAGTGAAAACATAAGCTTCATGTTTAAAGGGAAAATCTATGGTTAGCAACAGCCCTGCTTTTAAATATGATAAACTTGATAACAATTGCAAAAAAAGTAAATCTATTGCATAGCACCTTATTATCATGAAGGAATAGGAATTGTTCTAACTACTAAGCCTAATGCAGTATTCAATAACATTTTTCAAGTGGTGGTGATTTTCATTTATTTCAGCTTTTTATGCAATAACAATTCCTGATTCTCCATCTTCATGAGATACTGAGTGGAATACTGTTTAGTTTCTAAATACAACTTCTGTTTCTACTGCCCAAATCCATTGGAGATTTTACCCTAAGATTAAATGATATTACATTAAACTGTGACAGTGAATTTTGGCTAATTAATAAGGTAACAGTCACATGTCTGGTCATGCACCCAGTCAAATAACTGGCTGATGACCACCAGGCATGTGACTGGCACCTTATTAGTCAGCTGAAATTTGCTACTACAATGTTTATAATTTCACTTACCCTAGAATAGAATCCCAGCAGGATTCTGACCATTGTCTTTGATCACGTTTTCTTGCTTCATCCTGTTTTTTCATTCTGCTTTCTCTGAAATTCTATTTTATATGCCACCTTTCTCTATTTTTTGAATACATCTTTCATACTACTTTTGTATACACCAATCTGAAGCAAATTACATAAAATTAAGTCACATTTATAGAATGGCACTTCCTTCCAAATAAATATGTTTAGGATGGAGGATCACAGCCAGAGTAGCATTTCTCTGCAAACTGGTCTATTAATTTTTGGATCAGATTTTTTTTGCCTCAAACATAGCTTCCCCCTTGCTGTACATAATACTTAATAACAGCAAGATAATGAACATTAAGATAGCAATTAACTTTTTATAACCTTTCCATATGATAACATTCCAGTTTTATTCCTTGCACGCTAGTTACCTCCACAGATTGATCACTTGGATCTTCATAAGCTTGTTGGCATCTTATCCCTTCCATATGGATGATGCAGTTTTGCTAGGTAAGAACCACCAGGCATAGTTAATAAATGCAACTAATAAATATTAATAACATATAAGAGAGACACACATTGCCAAAAAAGACAAGAAAGGACACAGATTTATCTAAAACTTGAGAATTTTAAAGTAATTGTCATAATTTAAAGGGAATTATAGACCATCTCACCACAGGGAGGATGCCTGTTACCAGCTACATCCCTGCTGAATCTACCATCCAGCTGCTATTACTGACAAGCTAGAACAAGCCTCTGTTCTCCCATCTTCTGCCTAAATTTTTAAACAGGACTTGGCCGGAACAATTTTCCAGATTGATGGTTGTTCTCTGCAAAACTAGACATGTGGCCACCATAAGAAAACACAAGTTTTAAAAAAATTAATCCCAGATATGTGCATTGATTTACATAGTACAGATTCTCCCATAAATGGGAATGCTTCACCAGATGATTCCTCATTTAAACATTTCTTCAATCATTAGTGGAGAGCATTGGATCTTTAATTGTTTGTTTAAACAGTTAAAGAAAAAACATCTCATTTTTAAAGACTGCTGGCTTGTGGTTTATTATATTTGACAAGGGACATTGTATATTTACATTTTTAAAATTCCTTTATTTTTCCCCTTAAAATCTAGTTAAATGTTCACCATCAGAAGGGAAATGTGATATTTTGCAAATAAAAACTATATTTTAAAAACTTGTCAAAATGTCAGGGTATATATCCCCCAAGCATACCTCTGTGTTTATTCTTTTACTAAAAAAAAAATACAAAAAGAAAATAAAATGTTGTTTTTTTAAACCTGAATATGCTTGAATATGATGTCTGCTCATAAACCTGATGTTATTTCACAAAATGTATGGACAACACTTAATACCGATCTCTTCACTTGGGCTTCTGAAGTGCGAGGAAGTATATTAAGAGTGGAATGCGGTCTGGGCCCCTATCCCCTCCCACCTTTTCTAGACTGATACCATTTATGAAAATTAATGATAAAAACTGCAGAAAAAAACTGGTGGTTTCATCTTCCAATTTAGCAACTGATTCAACAACAAAAGAGCAATTTCTAATTTCATAGTGCTATGTACTATCAATTCTACTTTGTGGCACAGAATCATGGACTTTTTAAAAAGGTAGTTATAGAAAAAAATAGAAGCATTTGAAATGTGAATCCATTACAAGAATGCTAAGTACTTCTTCTTCAGAATGTTATATTTTTTAGCATGAATTAATAAAGACCAAGAAATCATAGAACATACACAATACATAAAGCTAGAATATATCAGTCGTGGGGGCAAAAATTACAATGACTGGAAAAGGAGTGCAGAAATAAGAAATATGTCTTGGCTGAAAAATCTTGAAGACTGGTTTGGATGCAATGCATCATTGTTTACAACTACTGCATACAAGTCAGAACAGCCATGATAATGTCCAATCATCAGCAGGAGAGAAGTGAGAGGATGGAGTACTGTGATATGATAAGAGGGAGTCAAAATAATACAATGAAATAAACAAAAATTTTGGTGCCCATATTTATTAAAACTCTCAATGCTCTCAAGACACAAAGTGTCAGTTTACACATATTTTTTTAAAACTGCTAGCAATTTCCCCAAAGTTTTGTATTTCAAATGTGTTTTATTTTTATTTACAGTGTGTCCCTAAAAAAAATATGTTTTCTGATATGTGCTGGACATTTTAATCCATTCAGGCTCTTTCAAAATTTTGTTTCTCTTAGTATTTTAATGAACAGCTTGCAAAAACCTTAGAGGCTGTACCTCAGACAACACCGGAGGCATTCAAGAGAAACTTATCTCAGACAACACTGGAGGCATTCAAGAGAAACTTAGACAACCACCGGATATCCTTTGATTTGTATTCCTGCCTCAAGCAGAGGGCAGGACTTGATGCCTTATAGGCCCCTTCCAACTTCACTATGTTTGATTTGTATTCCGGCCTCAAGCAGGGAGCTGGACTTGATGCCTTATAGGCCCCTTCGAACTTCACTATTCTATGATTCTATGATCATCTTTAAACCAACTGAGAAGAATGTTTCAAAGAATCTAAAGCAGGGGTGGGAGCTGTCTTTCCAGATATTACTGGACAGTCATTTCTTTCATCCCTAACTATTGTCTTTACAGGATTAGGCTAATGGTGGACGGGTAGGCTTCAACAGCATTTGGAGGTTGACCTTTTCCATTCTTGGGCTAAAGCCTCAAATGAAATGTGGATTTGGTCTCATAACATGGGATAATGCCCAGCATGGATCAAAAGAAACAGGTAGAGTGCTAGCAGAATGTAGGAGAAACACATGGAATTCCAAGCTTTTGAGTCTGGTAGCTACATTTGGAATTTTGAAAGTGTTGTAGGTACACCTACAAAATGGCTGCCACCATGAGTATGGCCAGTCACAAAATGCCAGTTGCCTGGAGGGCAAAGGGGGGAATAAAACCAAAATTTAACTTGCCCAGCCACATAGTATAAAGCATAAATGATGCCTTAGCTCCAAAACGTAAAGTTTGTTTATACCCCACCTTTCTCCTTTTAACTACCCAAGGAGGTTTACATCATTAAAAGACAAACGTAAAATCCTTGTTTGTTTATACCCCACCTTTCTCCTTAAAAGTACCCAAGGAGGTTTACATCATTAAAAGACAATATTAAAGCTAACAACATGAAGTATACAGATAGTAAAAAAGATCAAACAAACACCATTATGAAAAAATATAAGCAACACCAAACCACATTCAAAGCAATCCTTGTTTGTTTATACCCCACCTTTCTCCTTAAAAGTACCCAAGGAGGTTTACATCATTAAAAGACAATATTAAAGCTAACAACATGAAGTATACAGATAGTAAAAAAGATCAAACAAACACCATTATGAAAAAATATAAGCAACACCAAACCACATTCAAAGCAGGGATCAAACAAACACCATATAAAAAATATAGGCAACACCAAACCACATTCAAAGCAGCAGTAAGCTACAACAATCTATTTAAAAATCCCACTCAGGCAGCCAGTCACTCAGGGAAAGCTTGCCTTCTTTTGAATGCAGAATTTTCTGCATTTAAAGAAGACGTCAGCCTTATGCAGATGTTTGCCTGCACACGTGGATGACTAATTGAGTGCTAGGGACATAGACTGCTCCCAGAAATGGCCACAGTTAGAGAGTTCTCTACAGAACTGTGTGCTCAACATATGAAGATCTAGTATACTTCTCCTAGATGCATGAGAATGTTCAGGAACATGGCTTAGGTGCACACCCATGTCTAAGACCCCATCATGCAGCCCCCAATGTCTTTAGACAAATGCCTAATGTCTAAAGCGATGGGTCTCAGAAGCAACTAAGAATGTGACTAGAATGCCAAATTGGATTGAGCTAAATTGGATTAGACTAAATGGATTGGTCACTTAAGGTCGCTCAGAGGTGCAATATGCCATTTGGGGCAATCCTTGCATCCACAGCAAGGACTGGAGGTTTCAGGGCAGGAAGCCCGCTGCACCTCAAGCAACGCTGTTTAATCTGTTTCTCCCTTTAAAGGAAAATGTAAAAAAAGAAGTAGTAAAATAAAAAATACAAAAATACGAAAAGAGAGAACTCCCTCCTTGTCCCCTCCTGTACTCCTCTCTCTATGGGGCAGGAGGAGGAAGCTTTCAATTAGAAAACAAATCAATTGGTCTAGCTCTAAACACACACAGTAGCCCCTGACAAGGACTCAAAAAGATGTAGGTAGGCAAAGATAAGGGACAGGCTGGTTCTCAATTCCTTGTACCTCATGTGGTTGCTGGGGAAAAGCACAAACCTCCTGTTCCCAAAGTGGACCAAACTACAGGAAAAAATGTCCACCGGACCACACCCAAACTTGGCTAAGAAAAGATGGAATACAGGCCACTGTCTCAAATGTCAAATCACATATTTACCCTTCAGAAGGTACAACAAAATATTAATTTCACTGAAGAAAGCAAATGGCAACACTCTGGGAAATCCATCCAGTTGAAAAATTTATCTCCTACGTATCCACAACAAAACAAACAGAAACAGGTAAAAGACACAAGGACACGGGTGCTTGTAAGTCTGGCAAAACCAATATATCAAAATAAGGAAAACCTAGCAGTTCGTGCACACATCATATCAAAATGAACAACAGTAACACAACCTTAGCTTTTTATTTCTTCAGAGCAGCTGAGTAAACTTCAGAAAGATGTGCTGTCTGCAAAGTAGTAGATTGATTTCCTAAAAATGACTCTGAGATCCAGTTCAGTTTACATAACCTTGTTGATAATAAATGGCACTGAAGGCTTACATTAGCCTCCACTAATTAATAAAAATTATTTTTAACTATTACACAGTTTAACGATCAGGAGGGGTAGTTACTTGGGCAGGCATCAAGTGGTGCATCTGTGGGCACATCACATTGGGGGTCGCAGCAATAAAGGATATAACGACACCAGGTCCTGTGCTTATGTAGAAAGGTGTGGGCTCCTGGGAAGTTAAATAGGTCAAAATAAAGAAAATAAAGGGAAACACAGGGCTGGGGTCACAAAAAGCTTCAGAAGCTTGGTTTGTCAATAGAAACTTTCCTGACTGGCTTCACAGAATGGCCAATTTTGCATTACCAAGCCATGTTTTCAATGCAATTGAAGAGGACAACTTTTGGGGGAATGTCTGTAAGTTAAAGCATAAATTAAGAGACGTGCTCATTATTCTGCCCAAACTGACAGCAACCATCTTGGGTGCCTAAGGGATTTATACAATATTGCATATTAGAAACAATACCATGTAATTACCGCCAGGCTCGGTGCCTTAATTTACACATTGCTTCACTCATCACAGACTAATTTCCTCTTCACCTGTTGCCATCATGTGGCCAATTTGCTTCATTACATTCATACTGGTGCACAGTATGTTATTCACTATAACTACTGTATAACTTTTCACTGTAACTATAACTTTTAAGATACAGTGTAATTGTCTTCAAGTATGACAAGCTGTACTGTATATTATCTCCCTGCTTATTTAACTTATATGCAGAATACAGGGAACAAAAGGCTGGACGGGAGGAATCTCAAGCCATAATTAAAATTGCCAGAAGAAATATCAACAACCTCAGATATGCAGATGATACCACTCTAATGGCAGAAAGGGAGGAGGAATTAAATAACTCTTAATGGGGGTGAAAGAGGAGAGCAGAAAAACTGGTCTGAAGCTCAACATCCAAAAAACTAATATCATGGCCACTGGTCCTATCACCTCCTGGCAAATAAAAGGGGAAGATACAGAGGCAGTGACATATTTTACTTTCTTGGGCTCCATGATCACTGCAGATGGGGACAGCAGCCATGAAATTAAAAGATGCCTACTTCTTGGGAGGAAAGCGATGACAAACCTAGACAGCATCTTAAAAAGCAGAGACCTCACCTTGCCGACAAAGGTCTGCATAGTCAAAGCTATGGTTTTTCCAGTAGCCATGTATGGAAGTGAGAGCTGCACCATAAAGAAGGCTGAATGCTGAAGAATTGGTGCTTTTGAATTGTGGTGCTAGAGGGGACTATTGAGAGTCCCCTGGACTGCAAAGAGAATAAACCTATCAATTCTAAAGGAAATCAACCCTGAGTGCTCACTGGAAGGACAGATCCTGAAGCTGAGGCTCCAATACTTTGGCCATCTCATGAGAAGAGAAGTCTCCCTGGAAAAGACCCTGATGTTGGGAAAGTGTGAGGGCAAGAGGAGAAGAGGACACGAAGCAACCAGGATGACTTTGACCCAGCTCCAGGAGGCAGTGGAAGACAAGAGGGCTGGTGTGCTCTGGTCTATGGGGTCAGGAAGAATCGGAGACAACTAAACGACTAAAGAACAACAACAAAATTGTCTTCATTGATTAATATGCATGCTTCAGATAGTACCATTAAAAAATAAGCAAATAGTTGTTATGTTATCTCTGGGTCCAACATTCAGAAGTGGAAACAGAACTTAAAATTACAAGAATTCTTCCCTAGTAATTTTCAGCAAAATTTTGAAAGCAGTAAGACAAAAACAGGTATAATTTGGGTTAGAAGGTTAACCTCATTAATCTTTTCAGAATAGATCTTATGTCAACATATATTCAGACGAACTGGTTGAACACTGCAATTTTAACAGTGTACTAAATGTACTCAGTGTGCTCAATTTTAACATATGTACTCAATCCCCACAAAAGCAGGAAATAAATACTAAACTATTATAACAGGTAGATGCTAAGGATGATTTACTGCCAGATTCTACACCAACAGCTCCACACTAATGTTTACTAAATAATTAAATTTTAGTTTAGTGAGGCATAATGCCAAATATGCATCACATTTTTGCAGGTCTCAACTCCAGTAATAATCAAACATGCTGCTTATCCATTAACCAATATGACTGTTCTGTTTTATTAGCAGTTGGCACATTGTAAACCTAGTATATATTGCACAAGTGTTCCAGGCAGGGAAGATATAAAGTTGCATTATAAGTTTCCCTGGAGTGTATTAGGGCATTGCCATAACCATGTCACTATGAATGCCACAAGGGTTAACATAAATACTTTATGAGACTACACTTCACAGTTGTTCTCTGTACAACACTATCTGCCAATGGATGCACACATGAAAATATGTTGGCATTATGCATTTCTAAACAATTAAAAGTAACTATATCTTCTCCAAAGCATCTGAGTCAAAGAGCAATATGTGACTTTATGTGTGTAAATTCAGCATCTCAAATACACATAGGGTCCCAAGAGAAATTATAACTTAGAATGTGGGCAATCACAGGACAAATTGTCACGTCTGCATGACAAACCAAACTGGAGCTTAATATTTTACTATTTGTATGATGTGTATGACTGTTGACTTAAATGCTTCATGGTGAATGAATACATTTTACCAGTTAAGCAACCTTTCCAGGTTCACAAAAATGTCAATGATTGTTTCAAGGCCTCTCCTTATCATTAAAAATTACTGCTGTCATGTTTCCCATGTGTTTCAATGCCCTACCTATGGGAGGAAGCCAGGCCTGTGTAGCTTCCAACTTTTCTCACCTGAATTGTTCTGTATTTGTTGCTGGCTATCCACAAAAACAGAAGCAGAAGTCATTCCCTGAACCAAAGCCTTTGAAAAGAACAATATCTGAGAGATATTCATGTAAGATTATTCCTATTCCTCTATTTCATTCATACATTTATACAGCAGACCACAATGGTAAGTCACATATTTAAAAAACATTTTTCTCATCTATTATTCTCTCTCTCTCTCTCTCTCTCACACACACACACAGACACACACACAGAGAGAGAGAGAGAGAGAGAGAGAGAGAGAGAGAGAGAGAGAGATTTATACCCTTTTAAAATCTCTTAGCACTTTGCTTTTGTTTTGTTTATTTAACACACTTTTGCTAACCTAGCACCATAGCTGAGATAAAATAATTGAATTTAAGTGCAAGAAAATCAAGACAACTTGACAATAACATTCCATTTTCATTCAGAGACAAGACATGATATTTTAGGAAATAGTAAAAAGGACTACTTCTGTATCTTTCCTATTTTTATTCCTACTCTTCATATGTTTGGGTGGGATTTGAAACATTTAATTAGCGATAAAAGGCGGTGACTGATGACATCATCCATCTGGTGTGAGCACAGTTATGCCAACAGGATGCCAGCCATTGTCTCTCTTATTCCCTTTCTTCATTCTTTCTTAGCATTTGTTAGAACTGTGAAATATAATTTATTTGTTTTGTTATTGTTGGCAGTTTAAGTAGACTTCATGTTAGGTGCCCCCAATGCTATTAACATTGCCCATTATTGGGTGAAAATTATCTGGTATTTTTCTTAATTGCACTGTGGTGCTTCTGACAGGAAGGAAGGAAGGAAGGAAGGAAGGAAGGAAGGACCTGTTATTACACTTGGTCTGCTTTAAACTACACAGATGATTTCTTCTTAACTAGAAATGATGGGCTGATAAACAATCAGTATGAAGCACAAAACATGACTGGCACTGGGTAATGAAACCCTTAAACTCAATTGCCAGTGCAATCATCAAAGAAAACACTGAATGCCAGCACAAATCTACTTGTCTTTTGTGAAAAAGGCAATCATGCCAAAAGTTTTACTGCCTTAGGAGAAGTTCATCTGGCATGCTTTGGGGACTTAAACAGATTTTCTCCTTTGGGGGAAGGAAGGTTCTTGTGGTTCTCATTCTTCTTTCTCTCAGATTAAACAAAGCTGAGAGATTGTATCTCATTGTATATATTAATCAGCTCATCCATACAAGTTTGTATTAGTACCCAACTGTGTACAGCACAACAGTTTTTCCAAAAGGACAATGAGATAAAGCAGGCTTCTTCTGTTTTTAGAAGTATGTTAAAACAAGAGACTCTTTGGGTAAGTAGAAAGCACTGTTTAATATCCCAAAGAGTAAGTGACTGGTGTAACTGACCTTCCCATTGCTATGTTTATGTTAAAGAACCCTCCAAAATGTATGGAGTTGTGTTAATAATACAATTATCATTTTACGTATATTTCATTCTGTTCTTCCCCCATTACTAGAAGAAGCATACAAAAACGTCTGTGACTTGATTATTGTGCTCTAATCACAAGCTACATTTATGAAAGCTCATAACAAACCAAATTTTTCAGTCTTAACAAGTCCCACAAGAACCTCTCTTTTTTGCTGTAACAGACTAACATGGTTACTTCCATGGAACAACATTCTGTACGTGGTCATTAAAGCATAGTAGTAGCATGTATTTGTGTGCAAACCAAATGAATGTAGAACTGCTACCAAGCAGCACAGCTAGTACACTTCCCATTCATCTTCACTTTTGGCAGCTTCATGATGCTGTTGAACATCCGAGCAGTAACAAGAGCAAGGAGGTGGTAATGAGGAGGAAGTACAAATAGTTCTACACAAGCACATTCTGTTTCCCCCTCCTGTGCCTTGAGCCAAGCCAAAACAAAAAACAAAAAACTTCTTTTCCATAGCTTGGCAATGGAGTGGCAACAATACCTCATGTTGAATTCAGAAGTGTAATGGAGGCAGATTGCACAGGGTTGAAGCCCCATGAGTTTCCAAGCACCAAGAATTGTGACATCATCTGCCACAACCCCACCCCTTCTCTCTGAACTTAGATCAGTGATGGTGAGACTTTTTGAGCCCTAGTGCCCAAACTGCAACACAGAACTTATTTATTTCAGAGTGCCAACACTGCAATTAAACCTGAATACTAAGTTTTTAGTTTAGAAGAAACAACTGCCCCTGCACTGCAACGTTTAAATGCTCCCCCCCCCTTAGGGGCGGTATTAACAGTTAAATGCTTACCAGTCCTCCAGTCCACAATAGGGTTAGACTGGTAATGGCTGCCATTGCACCCCTATGCTGGACCACTGAACCAGCAGAGGGGAGTGCCAGCAGAGGATGGATAAGTGGCTAAGTTGACTTATGGCTCGTGTGCCCACAGAGAGGGCTCTGCATGCCAGCTGTGGCACACATGCCAAGTTTCACCATCACTTACTTAGGTGGAGGAAGAAACTGATTTTTTTCCAGGATTGTTGCAAACCATCTCTATTGTAACGAAGTACCGGAGTATACTTTGGTCTTGAGCAATGAATAGTCATTAGCTTTACAAAAGACCTGCACTTCATTTGTTTATGTGGCTCAATTTAGCATTTTTGGACACTCCTTGAGGAATGGGCTCTGGGGACCACCATGATGAGATTCATCCTTCCAAATGTACCACTAGGCCATGATTGAATTTCTTTGGCTCAACCAACCATTGGAGAAGGAAGAAGCCTTCCAAATAGTTTATACCAAAGAGGGGAGGTAGGAACACTGTATCAAATGGTCATGCAGGAGTTCTACAGGTGTGCTGAATATGCAACAAATTTGGAAGGGAGAGAACAACAGGAGAGGTACAATAAAGGATAAACCCTACGGGGCAATTACCGAGCTGCCAACCCCCCCCAAAAAAAAGAGGCTCAATCTGGATCTGTCGGGCGGATGGGAGGGGCAGCTGGAGGCCGCAGTTCCACCGACGAACCGGTTGCCAGGGCAACGTCTTTTCTGGCCCTCCGCTTCTAGAATCCGCCGGGACAGCCATCGCCGTGGAGGAGAGGCCACGCCCTGGCGAGGCGTCGGTTTGGCTTCGCGGCTGGGCTTTAAGCCAAGGACAGGGGGGTGAGGTTTAGCTATGCAGAGGTAGAGACCTGCCTCCCCCGCCCCGCAGCCGGGAAGCCGCGTTCACACGTGATCGCAAAGGTGAGGGAGGCGCGAGTGTGTCGGAGGGAGCGCGAGCCACAACAGGTGAACGGTGCACCCACGGAGGCAACGAAAGAGGGGCTCGTCGCAAAAAAAGTTCCTACGTCCCCTTTGGGAGATCCCGCGATTGTGCTAACTGGAGAGGCATGAAAAAAAAGTCCAAGCTTTCTAGTTCTGCAAAAATCTTTGTCGAACAGAATATTAAATAAAGAGGGAGGGGAGGATGTTGCAAGGCGTGGAGGGTGTCTGCCTTTTGTTGGATGTGGCAAAAGGCAACAGGCATTTGAGTGCACATAACATGGCCAGAGGGAACATTTTAAATTTAAAGTACATCCACAGCCCAGAGTGAGTTTGAATAGATCATGGAAACTCAGTGGGGGAAGGTTTCTCCACCTGAATATCAGGAAAACCTTCCTAAATTTTAGAGCAGTGGTTCTCAAACTGGAGCCCCCAGATGTTCGTAGACTGCAGTTCCCAGAAGCCTTTACCACTTGCTGTGCTGGCCAGGATTTCTGGGAATTGTAGTCCAAGAACATCTAGGAACAGAAGTTTGAGAACCACTGTTTTAGAGCAGTAAATGGCCTCATAGGGTCCCTCTGTTTCCATGATCCTATGATTCCAACAATCAAGAAAATAGTGTTCCAGATGTTTTTCAACAACAGCTCCCACCAGCCTTGCTGATGGTGAGAGAAAGCGGTTCCAATCCCAATGCCACATGTTCTCCAACTCCAGACTCTACAGCAGTGGTTCTCAACCTTCCAGCTACAAAATGTGTAATGTATTGGGAGCTACAGGTAAAGATCCTTTGTTGGATAGGCTGCTTCCAGCTCTACTGAGATTAACTATGCTTGCTGAGCTGGTCAATTAGGTTACTCATACAGACTAGCAATGGGCCAAGGGAGTTTTTAGCTGTTGAATGTGGTTACTGACTGATTGAATGTCGGGTGTGTGCTTTGGGGAAGGTTTGAGTGTACAGAACAGCTTATTGTGAGTGTTTGTAATGTCTCCTGCAAATAAAGAGCTATACTGAAGTCATCTCCACATCTGAACCCACTACTTTACAAGATGTTTTGGACTTCAAGTGCCAGGAGACCTAGCTAGTAAGACCAGTGACCTGATTCAGGGAGTTGGTGCCCAAAGGTATCTGAAGCATCCAGGCTTGAGAGCCACTCTACTAGGACAGTGGTTCTCAAACTTGGGCTCCTAGATGTTCTTGGACTACAACAGAAATCCTGGCCAGCACAGCAAGTGGTGAAGGCTTCTGGGAACT